TTTTCGCACCGTAGGACAAACTCTACGCAGGAAGATTTCTTTTTTCACGTAGTAAAATAAATTGACATTGTGAATTTTTATACTTCGTCAAGATCTTATGAATTCTTTATCCTATCTGTCCCGGACTTGGTGGACAGAGATTGTTGTTGGTGGGAGGTGGAAGGTCATGAAATTAGTTGAGGTGCACGCAAGCTGCATCGCACAACACAATTATTAAAAAAAGAGAGAAGAACTTATGAGTTCTTTACATTGCTAACATCTATATCTTGACATGAGGCACACAAATGCTAAAAGGTGAGAGGAAAAAAACAAGCAGTTATCCTTAATATTTCAACAAAAGGAGCACAAGTTGGGCATGAGTTCTTTGGAGCTACTATAACAATCTTCCACATCTCAAAATGCTCAAAGTAATTGCAAAAGAAAATAGAAATGAGAGGAAAAAAGTCTTGAAGTCCAGCTAAATAATGAGTTAGACCTGAAACTTGGTCTACCGTAGTAGTCTACCAAATAGTTTTGTATTTTGGTTTATCAAATATATCTTAAATACAAACCAATTTTTTTTAAAAAATAAAAAACGAAACCGATTGAAGAACCGAATTCATTCAGTTCGGTGTGGCTTTTCAGTTGTATGCCCACCCCTAAGTCTAAGAAGCACTGTGAGGATGATCACACAACTTAAAGGAGCATTAAGTTGATAAATGAAGGAGAATTGTAAATGTGACCTTGAGCAATATCTTTATTAAAAGAAAGTTTCCAGCAATCATAGTATCTAAATTTGGCTATAAGCTGAGGTTAGAGAGCTTCACCAAATTAATTTATTTTCATTGTAAAATATAAAGATGTATAAATGGCACCGACAGATTCTGAAATCAACTCATATGGATGCTAGAACTTTGGAGTTGTGTGTTTCAAATGTTCTCATGCGCAAGATATGTGGTCTAAGCAAGCATTATTATAAATTCACTTGGCTTAATGAGGAGATTGCTTGCTTAGATGACCTGAGATGAGCAAGATGTTTGTTAGATGGATGGCATGGTTTGAGTAGTAGGTACCGTGCTCCGAAATATGAACAGATCACTGGGAGTTTTAATGCATCTGTGATGCCTAGGGGAAAAAGAGAAGTTCCAATGAGAAGTAGTCCAAACATTTTTATAGTGGATCTTGTATGACATTTTCACTTGTAATGTAGGAAATGGGTGCTTATGCTGTTGGGTAATTGCTTATTGTTGTTTCAATATAAGTATTCACTGAAATGGTTTCTATTCTAACTCTCATCTGTCTGCTAGTATAATGGAGGGAGCCGGATGCATGATCTTGATGAAAGCGTGGGGTGCTTGGAATCTTGTCTAAAGTCAATTCATTTGACTAATTTCAATGGTGAAGAAAACGAGATAAAACTACTAAAGTTTTTTCTGAAGAATGCACGAGTGTTGGAAAAACTGACTATTTTCTGGGTGGAGTATCCTGATAAATCAGAAGAGGCATTAGAGGAGGTTTTAAAGTTTCCTAGAACTTCTTCACAGGTTGTTCTGACATTTCTCGATGCCAAGCCCAAACCAAGGTCTCGTAAATGGTACGATAGATAATTCAAAATGTCTCGACCTGGGAGATGATTATTCAATTGTTGGATGTACTCTTATTGGGATTTCTCTTGAAGATCCAAGCTGGAAATAAACTGTATAAGAAATTTTATTGTTCCTTGGTTTTTATGAAACCACTATAGTTGTTTCAGGTTTCAGGTTTCATGTTTCATGTTTCATGTTTCATGTTTCATGTTTGGACTGCTATAGAGTATCTGGCAAGAGTTTTTGAGTTTTGTTTCATACTTCTTCAACATACCATCCTTGGTCTGAAAATTAATTATTTCTTTCAGAATCCATGTGGTGAAATTTCACCCAAAACTCGACCCAAATAACATTGTACTTCCTACCAAACACACCCGTTAAATACATGTTTTTTTCCCCAAAAAAAATTGTGTTTGGTCTCTAGGGCTCATGGAGACGGGCATGAGCTGGTCTACTTGTCATTTCTCAATCTCAGGAAGAAATCCATTGTTGAGTTGTGCTATCTGAGTGTCCATTCTACCTCTTTGATCTCCAATGCAAGGTAAATTTTTGGGTTTTTCTGTTTTTCAATCGTTCAAATTGGAATACATAATGGAAACATCAGCGAAAAAATTCATGATTTCCGGCAATACAAGTGAAGGGATTGATAAAATAAGCACATTGCCAGATGAGGTAATCCACAACATACTTTCCTCTCTCTCTATATTTGATGAAGTAGTTCAGTTGAGTGTATTGTCCAAAAGGTGGAGATATATATGGGACTACAATGCCTTATTTGCACTTTGATATTGATAATTCTTGTCTACAACGGCTCTATGGTGGAAGGTGGGATTTTCATATGATACCGAAGGAAAAATTCAAAGACTCCCTTTGGGTCCTAATTTCCCAAAGGGAGACTAAGCTTGCCAAGTTTCTACTCTGTGTTACTCCACATGGTTACTTTGATAAGATGGAGATTTTTCGGTGGATTCATGCAGCAACGAGGCGAAATGTTCAAGAAATTGTGTTAGAATTTACTCTTTGTGTGCGTGCCATTAGAGTTACCAATTTGTCTTGCAACTTGTGAATCTTTGCAAGTTTTAAAGCTAAACCTGCCCGACAATATACTTAAACTGCCTAATCATTTTGGATTTCGTCAGCTGAAATTGCTCCATCTTGAGGATGTTGAGTTATTGGACAAACATTCCCCAAATTGCTTATTCTCAAAATGTCATCAACTCAAAAGTTTGATCTTACATGAATGTGGTTTAAGAGCTATGACACTACTTTCTATCGCTACCACATCTCTTAGTTCCGTTACTATTATTATGAGGATGAGTATGGCAAATGCGAACTCCCCAATCTCAAATTCTTAAATTATGAAGCTCCAACGCCAAAGGATATAATCATCGAGAATCTGTTTTCAATAGAAGATGTTAGTATCGTGTTTACTAATACACTGAGATATTTGTGCATAAGATGATCAAGGAATTAAGTTTCTTTTACATCAGTTTTGGCACTATGCAATGATTCTATTTTGGTAAAGTTCTCTTCATAAAAGGGGAATACAAATATTTAAAAAGATATACACGTACATTTTTTAAACATAAAGTCTCAAGTCCTTATAAAAATATATTAACAGTCTTAAGTATTTATCGTTAAAAAAATACATTAAGTATTTTCTTAGTTGTTTGGAGGGCTTGTTGATAGCTTTTCAATTAGTCTCTTTATTACTGATAAATTTCTCACTACTTGACTGTAAAAAAAAAAATATAATAAGTTTCTCACTTCTTAGTCATAAGAAAAATTCTCATTTCTATTATTTTTGTTTGTGTAGGGTATGTATAAAGTAGCTAGTAAAGAAAGGCTCTCCCTCGTCTCCTTTTATAAGTTGAAGACCTTAAAACTGTTAAGGAAAGCAACTTGGAAAAAAAAGCCCCTATTGTAAGAGGCTGGTGGAAGGTGTGAGATTCGAATCACTGTCTTAGTCTGCTTCTTGTTCGGATGTATCACCTACTTCATTGGACTAAATGGATGGTAGATGGAATAAGTGCAGAGGAGAGGTGCCGAGATCCTAGCGGGATCTTCCCATCATGATCGACTACGGAATATATACTATTAACCATGTGTTAAGAAATAATATTTATTATAGAATAAATATTTGCTCAATTTTAATAGATCATATATTCGTTTATGGTGCATGTTTACTTATGTAGTAGATGATTTCGTGTGTAGAGTTTTAGCTTATACACATAGGATTAAATCATCGGTTCTTATAAGTATAAAGTTTTTTGTTCACAATCTAGGATGGAAATTGGACATGACATCGGTAAGATTGTAACACAAAATTATATGTAATTTATCTTGATTATGGGAACGGTATAATTTCAACTTCTTGTGCTAGTGCATTTTGTATGTATTGAACAGGACCGAGTAGAGATAGTTGTTTTAGACTAACTTACAAAACATATTATCTAAACTATTAAATGTACTTATATTCTTAATCCTGATATAACTATTATAATCTGTATATATTAATTATCGTTTTGATTTATTAAAAGGTGAGATTCTGAGATGGGTCAATATGTCTGGTAAGTTGGATGATAATAATATATATTGGTGAAATAATAAGTTAGTTGATGGAATCCATGTCTCGTTATAGAGATTGATTGATATGCCTTTTTAAGAAACTTATAAGTTTTTATCGTGTCAAACCTTGCAAGTGGATTTATGAATTCGACACATGAAATAAGTTAAGTAGTGCTCTAAAGGAAATTAATCATTAAGTTAAATTCGTCAGTAATTTAATTTATTGATTAGTATCTGAAATCTTAACATGGGGAATTATGAAATATAAATAGAGGAGTGCAATTACAAATTTCTAGTGGAATGATTTGTAATTAATTATGGTAAGAATAATTCAAATTAATTATTTGGAATTATTTCCATAATAGGAAGCCTTAGTAATTAATTATGTGGTCCCTCCAGTGCCCATATTTAACTATTAACTCAGAACCAATTTCTTAGGGGAAAAAGGAGTAGGAGTGTGTTTTCTTGTTTTTCAAGAAAACTGGGTTTTCTTTCTCCTTTTTGGATTGGGGAAGAAGTCTCTATAAATAGAGATTCTCCTAACCTAGAAAAAGATTGATTAGTTTTCTATTCGATACTTGCCCACCCAAGTATTGAGAGAGTTCGGATGTGAACTTGAGATCACTGTAGAAGACCATAGCCATTGTCTATCTCGTAGATTTGCTTGAAGGTCTATTTATCTTGGAGATTCGCTTGGAGGTATCTACTCACACTTCAAGAAGTATTTATCGAATTAAATTTCAGCAAGTTAATGTGTTCTAACATGATTATGTGTTCTAGTATAAATAATATTGGTTATTTATTATTCATTTAAGCAGAAAGATATTGGTATGCTTCCGTTGTTCATATAGTTTTCCAACAAAAACTGTATGCGAGAGTTGATGGTGATTTTATTCTAGCTATGATATTATTGCTCAAGTATTCTCCTAATCTGGAGGTTCTACAGTTGCTGTCTTATGAGGTAAAGTTCTTCATTTTTTTATCACAAATTTTGTGTACAAATTCCATTTCTTTTTATATTGTAGTCGGAATGACTTGTAAGTTTTGTATGATAAAACTAGACGTTGATTAACGGGGAAGGAATCTTTCAAGAACAGAAGCCGGTGAAATTAGGCTCAAGAACTAATGTCATTTGTAATGTAGGATATGCGTGCTTATGTTGTTGAGCAATTGCTCATAGTTGTTTCAATATAAGTATATCCTGATATGGTTTCTATTCTAACTCTCATCTGTCTGCTAGAATGTACGCTGGTCTAAGAATTGGCAGATGCATGATCTTGATGAAAGCATTGTGTGGTTGGAATCTCATATAAAGTCAATTCATTTGACAAATTTCAAAGGTGTAGAAAACGAGATAAAACTAGTAAAGTTTTTTCTGATGAATGCACGAGTGTTGGAAAAACTGACTATTATCTGGGATGAGTATCCTGATAAATCAGAAGAGGCGTTAGTGGAGGTTTTAAAGTTTCCTACAACTTCTTCACAGGTTGTTTTGACATTTCTCGATGCCAAGCCCCAACCAAGTTCTCGTAAATGGTACGATAGATAATTCAAAATTACTCTACCTAGGAGATGGTTATTTGATTGTTGAATGTACTCTTGAAGATCCAAGCCAGAACCAAACTGTATCATAAATTACATTGTTCCATGGTTTTTATGGAACCACTATAGTTGTTTCATGTTTCATGTTTGGACTGCTATAGAGTAGCTAAGAGGAAGGTCAAGTCTTATTTCTACTGGAAAGTATCAAGCAGGGTGTGGTTAACTTCCTTTACAAGTGCCAAAGTAGCAATTTTAGTGCTTCCTAAACACTGATTTTTTGCAACTATTGATACTGTTTGCTCAGAAATCAATGTGTATTTCATAGAAACACGTCTTCATATCTCCTTTAAACTACATGAAATGCTTGCTATTATTGTGAGTTGTCGAGATCCAATTTTCATCAGCTCAATCTGGCAAGAGTGTTTGTGTTTATGCTTCATACTTGTTCAACATTTCATTCTTAGTCTGAACTCTGAAGCATCCTCAATCGGTGTCTCGAGGCTTATTTGATGTGCATATATACAAGTACTTGTAAAGCTCTGGGGAAATAAATGGGTGACTATAGCTTTTTACCACTTGAATAGAAGAAAATGACTTTCTTAATTTTTTTTAGTTTCAATAAATTATAAAAAAAAAAATCAATTTCAATTCAAACTCTATTTAGATTAATATGTTTTAAATAGTTAGTATAATATTTGAATAATATAAAAAGATTTTTCAAAATAAAAAATCTAACTTACATTTTTGGCTTAAAAGTTCTCATGTTAATCCAAACAAAACAAACTCTAATAATTTTGGGGGAAAACGTTACATTTTCATTCTTTTCATCTTTCCAAAGAAGGAAAACCTTACAACAATGCCCAAGAACTGCCGTTTTCTTCTCTCTCCAACCGTCAGTTCATATAGACCGGGACTGGTGACCTTTGTTGAGTTTTGCTGTCAGGGTGCCATTTCTACCTATCGTATATCTTCGTAACAAGGTAATTTTGTTGGTATTTTCTCATTCAAATCGGATTTTTTAATGGAAGTATCAACCAGAAAACCTAAGATTTCCAGTACCGGTACATGGATTGATAGAATAAGGGCATTGCCAGATGATGTACTTCACAACATCCTTTCATCTCTCTTTATTTTTGATGTGGTTCAGTTGAGTGTGTTATCGAAAAGATGGAGATATGTATGGACTACAATGCCTTACTTGCACTTTGATATTGATCAATTTTATCCACAACGGTATTGTGATTTTGTAATAGCTGGGAGATTTAAAGACTTCATCAATTGGGTATTGATTTCCCAAGGTGACACTAATAAACTTGTTCAGTTTCTTCTCTGTTTTGACAATTTGTTTGATGAGCCAACTATTTTGCGATGGATTAATCATGTGACTACAAAGCGAAATGTACAAGAACTTGTGTTAAAATTTCGTCTTGGTAAGCCACTTGAGTTATCGTATTGTCTTGTAACGAGTTAATCGTTGCAAGTTTTGAAACTACACTTGTCTGGGGATGTACTTACACTGCCTAATTGTGTGGGATTTCGTCAGCTGAAATTGCTTAATCTTGAGCAAGTCCAGTTATCGGATGAGCATTTGATTAGTTGCTTGTTGTCGAAATGTGATTTTCTCAAAACTTTGATCTTAGAAGATTTTACTGTGGGAGATATGACACTACTTGATATTGCTTCCATGTCTCTTATAAACGTTACTTTACGAAATAACATTTCTAAAGTGGAGTGCTATGGCAATTGTGAAATCAGAATTTCTTGCCCGAGTCTCAAAGTGTTAAAATATAATGCTCCAGTGCCAAAGGATATAGTTGTTGAGAATCTCTTTTCAATAGAAGTTGTTCGTATCAACCTTATTGATAGCGGTTCAATCAAAGAAAGAGGCTATGCATGACTTCCATTTCGGTAAAGTCCTCTCTTTACGTGTAAAAGTGAGAAAGAAGTATTAAGGAAATATATAGTCATTTTGACAACTTGTTGATAGCTTTTCAATTAATCTCCTTACGAAGTTATTGAAAATCCCCCTTATTTCTTGTTTTTTGTTGTTTTAGGGTTTGTACGATGTGGCTCGCAGAATAAAACTCTCTCCAGTGTCTTTTGATAAGCTGAAGTCTCTAAAACTGGAAGTGGTAATTCATGAAGAGTCAATGCAAATAATGATACTATTGCTCAAGTATTCTCCTAATTTGGAGGTTCTTAAATTGTGGTCTGATGAGGTAAAGGTCGTCTTTGTTTTCGCTAATTCTTCTGTAGAAAACCCGTTTCTTCTGGATGGTAATTAGTCAGAAGGACTTGTAAGTAAAACTAGACGTTGATTTAACATGAAAGGATTCTTTCAAGATAAGAAGGTAAGAAACTAGGCTTAAAAACTGACATCACTAAATCTTCCAAGGAAAAGTTGACTTATAATTGCAATGTCATTGGAAGAATGCTACATTATAACTCTATTTTCGAGTAATTTGACCCTAATAAGCAAATTCCACTCACAAAAAATGTTAAACATGCCACAATGAGAGGGAGGATCTGCTAATCATCAGTTATAATTTTTAACACACTTTGTAGTTGGCATACTTGTTTACTCATGCCATTTTTTTTTAATCATATTTGCTGAATGAATTTTAATGTTTGAAATAGATTTAATTTGTAAAGTGATGTGGAGAAAGTCTGAGAAGAATTGAGATGATATTACAACTTTAGGGAGCATTAAGTTGATATATGGATGAATTCATTAAATCGACACTGATAGATTCTAAAATCAACTCATTTCAAAGCTAGAACTTAAAGATGTGTTTCCAATGTGTTCATGCACAAAAGATATGGTCTAAAGGGAGCATTAGTTTAATCCTTCTGCATACAAACATAAATCCTGGTGAATGGATAGATCACTGGACATTTAATGCATCAGTAGAACTTTTGGGAAAAGAAAAATCCAAAGAGAAGTAAATGGTCCAAGACATTTTGGAAATGAATCTTGTTTGACATTTCCACTTTTAATCGAGGAATGGTTGCCTACACTGCTGAATGATTAATTATCGTTATTCATTTATTGCTGTTTTGATATAAGAGCTTACTATGCCCGATGAAGTGGTTTCTCTACTGACTCTCGACCGTCTGCGAGAGTGTGAATTGGCAGCTGCTTGATCTTGATGAAAGCATTGTGTGCTTGGAATCCCATCTAAAGTCAATTCATTTGACTGGTTTCAAAGGTGAAGAAAACGAGATAGAACTAGTGAAGTTTTTCCTGAAGAATGCACGAGTATTGGAAAAACTGATGATTTTCTGGGAAATGGACATGGATAAGTCAGAAGAATCATCAGAGGAAGTTTTGAACTTTCATAGAACTTCTTCACATGTTGTTCTGATGTTTCTTGATGCCAAGCCCAAGCAAAGATCTCGTAAGTGGTACAATAGATATTCAAAATGACTCGACCTAGGAGAGGATTATTCGATTGTTGGATGTACTCTTATTGAGATTTCTCTTAAAGATTCAAGTTTGAACCAGACTATAAACAATTTCATGGGCTGTGATGTTTATGAAACTTCAATTGTGGTTTTCCGTTCCATGTTTGAACTGCTATAGAGTAACTAGGAAGGTCATGTCTTTTTCCTATGGGCAAGTATCAAGCAGGATACCAAAATTCAGGTATTGTTTTGCTTCGACACTCTTAAAGATCCCCTGCTTTGCAAGGTCACTTTGCTGAAGTCTTTAAAACTGTTCGTGGCTATATGTGGATGACTATTTAATGCAAGTTATGATATTATTGCTCAAGCATTCTCCTAATCTGGGGGTTCTTAAATCATGGTCTGATTAGGTAATGCTGCTCATCATTCTTTTTGGTAATTCTGTATATATTCCGTTTCTTTTATATGGTAGTTGGTGTTGCTAGTTTTGTTAAAGTATAGACTGATTTACGCAAAAGGATTCTTTGGATGACAGAAGGTGGTGAAATTAGGCTCGAAAACTGACATAACTACAACTTTTCAAGGGAAAGTTGACATATGTATGAGCTGTGGTATATATCTAACTTTAAAGTTCAATCCAGTCTTGCATTTCTAACTGAATTTGCTTGAAATCTCTGATAGACAATTGTAATTTCGTCCAAGTCATGTGTAACCCCAGTTGGGGTGACACAGTACAGTAGTGATAATGTTGGTCATTAGTTGCCACCTTAGTGTAAGGTCAATGCATAAAAAGACATTGACAATATCTAGCTAACGTGCAACTCCAACTATTATCCACTTTAGCCATATCACAACTCACAAGTTTGTATTATTTTCAAAAAGAGAAGAATTTTGGAGGAAGAGATATACATAAATTTTATCCCTATTGGATTTCAAGATTAAACTATGAGACATTGGAGATGGGATTTTCAAAATTCGACTATGAAACATTGGATTAAAGCGAAGAAATCCAGAATATTTCATGCACCCATTAAATAAAAATGTATCAAAACTATCTTGTTTAAACCAAACATGTGTTTTATATTATACATCAAACATTTCAATTCAGTCCCATAACCAAATATCTACTAATAAAAGTATATGTGCTAAATAATCTTATCATCATTTAATTTCTATATTACAATTTCAAGATAATTTGTTCGACAAAAAAAAATAAAAAATACTTTGTGTGGTTTATAAAGTTCTTCATTTAACTTCAACTACTTAGCAGCAAATACAAAGTGTTTCTTCTTTCATATCAATAAATTGGCGTGTTTAATTAGGATTGGTGAAACTCCCAAAACAAGTTATGGAATGAAGATAATGTCTTTTCAAGTAACAATAAAAAAATAGATATATTTGTTTTTATCTCTACTATGGCCAATACAAGAAATCGATTGATTTATGACATTTCAACTTAACCAAAAGTATTTTATTTTACCTAGAATAAGTTACTTTGAAACCAAATTTCCCTCACATTCACAGAATATTGTACTCTAACATAATCATTTTTGAACTTGACTTTAGACTATAAATTACTATACTATGTTTTCGTGATGTCTAAGAAATGAATCTCCAACTTCATATTCTTAGTACTTTTTTTCCGCACCCCACTCATCAGGAAGATCAATAATATTTTCACATGTCCTTCCAGGTGACTAGAACCCTCAACCCATCTATTAATGTTGAAGGATCAAACACTAAAACAAGCCTCAGTATATATGATGTCACTCATAATATATGCTAAACTAAGCTCTACTTAAACTGAATAGAAGAATCAAATAATAAACTAGTATTAGAAGAGACTAGGGTCCCAGTTAATTAAGTACATAAAAAGATTACTGCTATAATGAAGGGTGTACTTACCTGTAAACGTTACTAATTAATTACACCATAAACGTACATGCTAATAAATCACGAATCGAATATAAATAGTACATTAGTACTAGACTCTCACATAATATATATATATATATATATATATATATATAAATTGTTTTCTCCCTTGTCCTATCTTACGTTATCACGACTTTAGTAATGACCAAATGTGAATATAATCTTTTGGTATGAGGGATAAGAATAAATAGTCATGGGATAAAAATTTGGTATCTAGTTTGGTTGTCATAGTAATGGGATAAGTTATCCCATATACATAGTGGGATAAGTTATCCCAGGATAACTATCCCGAATAATTAATCCTTGGATAACTTGTTCCCAATTAAACGAACTAACCCTCCCTCATGGGTAGAGACATGAATCATGATCAATTTACTTAAAAGGTTTCAACTTTAATATAAATAAAAGAAAAACAATAGACGAGAAAAATCCACTATTCATCATCAATATAAATAAATCATGGTCTTGACTACAAAATTATATCGAGCTAGCTAGCCATACATAAATAAAGGGAAAAAACTCGACATAACGAATATAAAATCCACCATAGCAACATGCAGCTAGCTCACAATATATATATGATTCGTTGTGACATTGTTATTGTTGTTCCTTATAAAACTATATAATATAATAATTATCAATAATATATATGGGTAGCTAGGTACGTGCTATATACAGAATATTGGTGGATGTAATAATAATAATAATAATATTAATTCTAGAAAGAGGTGAAACAATCATGATCAGAAGAGTTAGAATCATCACAAGGAGAATGGTTATGTCTACCTTCATACGTAGTTATTACCATACGACAATCTTCTGATAATCTTTCAACTCTCTTCTTCACTCTACAATTACTATGCGTACATCGATAGTAACTCCTGCAATAACAATAAGAAAATGAGATTATAAGTAATTTTCTTATTTATTTTAGTATATTTGGGAAATATTTACGTATATTTATATTTAATCTGACCACACACAATACTATAAGAAAAGTGTGAGGTGGATGAAAAACACTATCAGCTACTTTGCACCACCAATAACCAATGATTTAGATTATTTACTTCCTTCCATTTTTATCGACGATCATGCTTTAGTTTATATCCTCTATTTCATATTATTTGACCTTTGTATTAAAATTAAGATTTTCAATTTACTTACTTACCCTTGAGAAATGTCAAATGCATGCTTGCACTCCACGTTAATCTCCAGGGGTATACATATGCATTTTCAATTCAATTCAGTCGCAATACTCTCTTTATTTCATTTGACATTTATATTAAAACATAATACATTTTTTACTTGTTCATTTTAATAAATTAAGAGAGTTTTATTACTTTTTTCGTACTATTTTAATATTAAATAACTATATAAAATAGTAGTAGTAGTCAAATTTTGAGCTTAGTTTCATTGTGCCATTAATAAAGTTAATTTAATAAAATACATTTCCAATAAAAGATTTCGTAAGAGCTGTGTCAAGTCAATATATATGAACCAAATAAAATGAAACACTCAAAGTACTATTTTCATCCATTAATTAATTGAAGTATGTGACCATTTAAGTTATTTAAAAAAAATATTTTTATTATTTAATTATATTCTCGACTTAATCAATTTCTTATTGAACTATGCTAATTATGATCGGCACAGGGACTTTACAGTAAATTACACCCCTGATAGTCTTTCATACTCCAATTATGTGATTGGTTCAGCTCATATTGACAAATTTAAAAAATACTTAGCACAATTTCAATTCATCATAAATATCTTAAGTAACTAAGAAGTGAGATGCAATACATTCTTGGATAAATTGATGATTTTTTTCTCTCTTTTTTTTTAATTTCTAAAATATAAGCAAAAGGTTTCAATCGTTCCAGGTCATTTGGTTGGGAAACAAGTTATCCCGAGATTAATTATCCTGGAATAAGTTATTCCATCATATATATGTGATAACTTATCTCATCACTAAGGTATAAATGGTGAGATAAATAATATAAGAATTACCTAATACCTCCAAAACACAGATTAAAATAATACTACATTTTATTATAGAATTATTATACCAACACCTCACACCAAACGACTCTTTCAACTTTCAGTCTATTTGTTGTAGGAGCCATTAGACAATATTCACGCAAAGATTAGTGTAACATACATCTCTTGAAAAGCAACCATATTTAGAATTACTAAATACTCTCTCCGTTTCTATTTAGTTAGCCTATATTATATAAATAGAAAACGATTGAAGAATTAATAAGGATATATTAATTAAATTATACTACTAATTGATTTTTTCTTAAATATTATACAAAACTGTATCCTGACAACTAAATTATACTACTAGTAATGCACTTTAACGACTTAAGTTATTTATAAGATGGTAATGCACCTCAACATGATATCGATAAACATATGTCACTGTCATCCATTATCAATATATATAAATGGTCCATTACCAAATCTATTACTTAACATTTCTCAGGCTATACAAATATATAGGAAATATTATTTTGAATTTAAGGTAATTATTAGAACTAGGAAAATAAGAGAAAATACTGGAAGCAAATAAAGCCAAAGTAGAAAAATACAAAGCAAAAGGGAATTGGAGCAGAAAAAAAGAAGTATTCATCAATGGTTAGAGGAGAATTGAAGATATATTAGATGGTCCACAGGCTACTGTCAACAGGGTCTATCCCACTTCTAGATATGGAGTAGAAGTAATAATACCAATTTATACAATTTCTTGTACTTCCCAAAACTATTTGAAAGCACACTTTATATATCACTTTCACCATTTTTAATTTTAAATTGTAGGTCCAATATAATGTCCCGTGAATCGGAGTTATAATTTTAATTTTTAGATTACGAATTTTAGAATAAATAGTTCAAAGACAAGAAGGATTGCACATGTGGTAGATATTTGCCATTTTTAATTTTAAAATTATGGGTTTAAATCACCAAAAGAATAAGCATGTGTGATCTTCTAGGGAGGGTTTAAAAAAAATAAAAAAAAAAAAAAAAAAAACCAACATTTCAAGTACCGCTCCTTTCATCTCAAGTCATTTGTCGCACCTTCTGAAAATAGTTTTCTCAAATAATTTGTTATTATAGAAATTCAATGCATAATTAATTATATTTTTGTCATTTTGTTATTATAGTTATTATTTTTAAAGACTATAAACAACTCAATTATATGATGATATTATGATTTGAGGAGAAGAGACTAATATCAAGTTAGTTCTAAATTTAAGTTATCCCATTTAATTAAATATTAATATAAATATACTATTTGAAGAAAAACTACCCTAAATTTAATTGATCTGGACTTCTATCTCGTGATCCCAAATTTTGTGCAACACGATTTGAGAGAAATTGATGTGTAAAACGATATTTTCACAAATAATTATTAAATGGATAGAAGGAATTAAAGACATAATTCTCTTACTTTCTAGAAGTTCTGTCTATTTCAAAGTTCCTCTCATTTTGATTTAATTAGTTTAATTCATTTTTAAAATGAGTTAATATGCTGTTTAGATTGATTTATGAGAATTTTTTTTTATTTATTTATTTAATTTTTTTTTATAGTCATAACATTAGGAGAAAAGCTTAGTAGATACTCAATAACAAATTATAGCAAAACTACTTTGAATTTAAAATTTAGTAAAAATCAAAGGGATTAAATTATGAATCGACTTTTAAATTATTTCATCCAAATAATATCAAATGGGTCAATAACTTACCCATTTATTAATTAAATCAATTTAGAAGATGAATTAGTACTCCTAAAGTTGTTTCGGATAAATGTACTTACATCGTTACATTCAACAATCACATATATTGCTAACAGTAACACACTCTCTTTTTTTTTCTTTTGTAACGAGGCATATTAAGTATTTATATTATTTCTTTTTATAACTAAAACAACATTTATACTTCTTTTGTCTCAATTTATATGATAGTTCAAATTTTAATGTTTTTGAAAAATCATTAACATATTTTGTAACTATATAAGAAATACAATATATCGCAGTTGCCAAAATTAAGTTTTAAAAAAGAAGAATGAATCACAGTAAAAACAAATAAAATCGCTTGACTCACGAAATTCTAACTATATCATATAAAGATATAAGGAGTACTTTGTAAGATAAATTTAATCAACTCCTATAAGGAAAAACATGAGAAACTAGTAGTAATTGATTATTATTATTATTAGGTACCTGGGATGAAGGCTATTCTTGACAACTTTCTGACCATATTTTCTCCATTTATATCCATCATCAAGAACATCAATGTCACTCCTTGTTTGGAAACAAAATCTTGGTTCTCTTAGCTTTCTTCTTATCTTCACTTTTCCTTTGTCTGAAGATGAATTCTTCCACCTACATATTTTAGAAATGAAATAATGTAATTGCTTGCTAGTAAAATAATAACTTGATGAGCTCATGACAACAATAAAAATGTATATATACTTGTGCTAGCAAATAAATTAAAAAAGTCTTATCATATGTGAGTTGAATTTTATCATGATGTGGGTACAAATATATTTATAGTTGAGCATTATAATATGTATAGTGGATCTATCTAGCACTTGTCCTTCTCAAAATGCACAACACCACATATTATTTAGTACAAACCATAGTATTTATATACACACTTTGAAATAGTGTCATTATTAAAGAGCAAGAGAGACATTTCAAGAAAACATGATAGCAAAAATCTATCTGCATGAATGCCTTGCTAGATCTCTTTTCAGGTTTTAATGTAAATCATGAAGAAGCTTCTAGAGAGGTAGTACTAATAAATAGTGGAGTTGAAAATAAAGTAAAGACTTTTTTTTCCTTCAAGTCTTTGTCTGAAACTCCTTAGTCTGATTAATTTTGATACGCGTGGTGAAAAGTTCAAAGTCTGACCAACTCCAATTCACCTTGTTTAATTAAATCGCACTATAAAAATGCTCTATATTAGGAAGAGCAATTCATTCCCAAGACTCTGCACTCTAATTAAGAGTGAGAAAATCTTTGTCTCCGATCTAATTTCTCAGATTTTGATGGAATGAATTAAGCACAAAATAGTGAGGTTAATAACCCTTTTCTTAAATTTTAAAAAAAAGAATTGAAGAAGAAGAAGTATGCATGAATAGTTGTGAGAAGGGTAAATAGATCATGATCTCCATCCCTCCTTTCTTCAGTTTCCCCTTTTGTTAAAACCAAGATAAATCAAATGTTAGATTAAATTAAGATATTTCACTTCTATATTATATTATATAAAATAACAAGCCGCAATTCATAGCGCGAGAATCGATGTAACATTTTGAAAATAAATTAGTAGGAGTAAATGTTATAGAGAAATAATACCATGAATTGTTACCCTCACTGGCATTACCGCTGCAATTTTCGTCATTTATACCCTTGGGATCTAGTGCTTCCACCTATATGTAAAATTAAACAAAAAGAAGAAATTATTACAAAGAATAATTTGAGAAACCCTAAAAGAGATCCCAATATATTTTTTGTGATGGTTGTTATCTTTCACCAGCACAAATCTACGATAAAGTTGTAAATCATCCGAATTTACCTGTTCGTTGTTGTTCCAAGAAGGTCTATTGACAAGTAATTCATTGTGGCTAAACCCTAGACCACCACCACCACCACCAACGTTATTGGACGCGCCAGCCGCAGCAGCGTTTGTATTGATGGCGGCGGATGGCGTAACACTTACGCTGGCGGCGGCGGCGGCGGCGGCGGCGGCAGCAGCAGCTTGAAGAGACTGAGAAGATTGTGATGAAGGAGCTAAGAAGCTCAAGTTTTGATCTGCAAAGTGTATAAATCCCAATTCATGATGAACATTATTTGGTGCTGCTACTGAGGATGATGATGAAAAAGATACTTGTAAATTGTAATTGTTTAACTGATTTCTTTCTTCACTACCCCTTTCCATTAATTCCTCTCACTTTTTTTTTCCTAATAATATTCCAAAGTACTTTTGTTGTTGATGCTTCTTTTCAACAATTTCTTTCTTTGCTACTTCTTCTTCTTCTTCTTCTTGTTGATGATGTTGTGATGGTGAATTAATTATTGAGGGATGTATTTTGTGAATTGCATGTATTCGTACTCCGTGTGGGGTTTCATTTTCAAGTAGAATGATGTTTTTTCTTTCACCAACATATATATTGGAAATATATATATCTGGTCAACTGGTAAACGCTACTCTCTCCGTCTCATTTTATATGTCATTTCTTTCTATAAATAATTGGTCCATAATACTTGTCATTTTATAAAATCAATGCATAAATTACCATATTCTTCCTTTTCTACCCTTGTGAGTTATTAGCCTTGAAAATATACATTTGACCAACTTAGAAAAGCGAAGTAAATGATTCATGTTCATTGGTTAAATTAATTAATCAAAATAAACTAATTCATATTCATTAATTGAAAACTTGAGTTCCAAAGAATTTAAATAAGGGTAGAAGGGTAAAGTTACATCATTTCTAAATGCAAATACAAATTAAAAAGGTGACATATAAAATGAGACGGAGGAAGTATAAGGAATGTAGATCAAATATTAAATTAATATATATTGTAATATTCTTTAATTAATTTGACATGGAGTTTTAAGAAAAAGAATTTCTGAAATTTATGGTTTAAAACAAGCCAGAAATAATTGTGCATCAGTGTAATGTGTTTGGTATGAAGGAACAATTTTACATGAAAAATGTTTTCTTAAAAAACAAGTTGATTTAGTGTTTTGTAAGTAAAAAAATATTATCCCAAAAACATTTATATGTAATCTAGCAAAATACTATAGAGGGAAAAGGATGTAGGGAGTGGGGCCTCAAGGGTGAAGGGTGGTGCAATGGTCAAGGGGTAGGGAGTTGGGAGCATGGGTGGATGGGGAGCATATAACAAACATAGAATATCATTTATACAACTTTTTTTTTTTTTTGATAAACTATAAAACTTTTTTTTCGTACTTCCATTAAGAAAGTCATTTTCATGATTTTTAAGGAATTTAATTTTCTAAAGAAAAGATTTTTCAAAAAATTTGTCCAACCAGACATATAAAAATAAGAAAATAATTTGTAAAAAATGTTTTCTTACATACCAAACAGACATTAAATTATCTCATTAGGTTAAAATGAACATTTAAGTTAAATTGTTACTAAGTATAAAAATATATACTATATTTTGAGACCAACTAAAAAAGAAAGTACATGAGGTAAATTAAGACAAAGAAAATAGTAATACAATAATTGAGTTCACAAATTAAATTTCTATAGATGTTTAATTAATGAATTGTTTTAATACGTATCTTGTTTGTGTTATATATGTATGCTCCAATATCCAATTCTGGGCATGCCTCTTAATGAGTAAAAATACTCATGTTCAATTTTTAATATCAAGACAATAGATGTATAATATTTGCCAATAGATATGTCTCACTTAATCATCATTGAGGAATATATATTCACAGTTTTTCTAAATTATTTAGTCATGATAAATTATTATGATTTGATATAATTATCAAATGCGGAAAAATATATATAATTAAAATTTATTTGCAGAAAATCATACTGCAAAAAAACAAAACGGCTAATCATATTATTCTACAATAATTAAATGATAATTGTTGTAAGAATATATATTAATTAAATAATTTACATGGTAGGGTCCGTGTCGAAACCCCGCCACCCCAAAACTCATTTAATATAAAAGAAATTTGCTATGCTTAAACATACACTATATCATCTATTTATTGGATTGTTTTACCACAAGACGTATATAAAAATGCGATCTTGAAATTAAATTAAAAACTCTAAACTTTCATACGAGTCAATTTGTTTTAAGGAAGTAAAATTATCTCAAATACAATTTGAATTTGACTGATCCTAGATTTTATAGAAGTATTAGTATTTAGAGCCATGTGTAATCATAAATGATAAAGAAAATTGATAAGTTGAACCATATTGTTTGGCTCTCGGTGGAGTTTGATAACAACAATTACTTTAAGACTAAGTATATTTTAAAATAATCATTGTTATTGACTTATTATCCACTAAACGGTTTGTTAAGCAATAAAACTGGAGTTTAAGTTATAAGAAACTTTATAACCACGAATTGTTTCAGTACATCCTTGACAATTGCGACAAAAATATTTATTTGCCCAATTTCAAGTTGTGACAAAAAATTTTTTTCTCATTTTGGTGTTACGGTGAAACATTATCATATTTATCTTATTTGTTTTCTTGTCTTCGATACATAAGTAGAAAAATATCATTTTAAAAATAATTATATGTAATTTAGTCAAACACAATGAAGATGGGGGATAACGTGTGGGAGTGATGGAGATGAGACTATATATGGCGGTGCATGGAGTCAGGGTAGGATGTGTTCGAGAGGATAGATAAGATATAATTAGTATAGAATGTCACTAATGCAATAACCTGTAATCTCTAATTTCTCTAAAGAAGATAGATATGTTGAAACGGGTGCTAGCTTGAAAATCGTTGCAAAATATATATATATATATATATATATATAAATACTATTCACTATTATTGTTTAACGTCAAGCTTAGCTGGACCACTATGGTTCTTAGAAATGGATATAAATTCCCTAATCATTTTCTTAAGAGGAAAAAACAAGATGCATGGTAGCTACTAGCTACATATATTCAAAACTTCACTGTAATAGTGTGCATCAATATTATGAGTTGATAAAAATAATAAAATATGATTTAGCTAGCTAGGATCGAATTATGATCGCATGGGCGGTTGCGCTTGCTTGTACTAGCAGTTGCACCTGTCCTTTGATGCTTTTCATGGGGGCACTAATATTTTTTTATTTTTTTTCCAATTTTTCAAGATAAATATACATATATATACATGATTTTTTCTGAAGTTAACAGGTGCACGTACATCTCACATATACATGTAGGTCTGCTCTTGTTATAAAGAGATATTATTATACTAATATAATATGAAAATTAGTTTAATAGAAAAATTGATTGTTATTATAAAGAACGGTTGTTTAGAGGATGTGATTGTATCAATACTCAAAAGTATAAATACATATATATTATTTTCATTATTTTAAAGTGACTTTTTTCTTAACAAGTTCAATATTGCCCCGAACTTTTTTTCGTATATTTGAAGCAAATAATGTTTTTATTTTGACCTAATTATATTGAAAGTTAGAAATTGAAAACTCATGTTTAACTATATATATCATATACCTAATTAAGTCACAACTCCTATTAGGGTGTTTGGCTTAATCAGACATTTGTCTGTATACTACACAACTTTTGTATAACAATTATAACGTCGATGACTAATAGACTCTTCTTTTAATTTGCTCTTTCTTTATTGACTTTTGATTAGGATAGGTCCATAAGGAATATTGTACAAAATGAAAAAAGGTGAGGTTGCAATCTTAAGATAACCTCGTCTATAAGATTTCAAAAAAAAAAGTAAGAGAAAAATAAACTTTCCTTTGAAAAAATAACAAGGAAAATGAAGTAAGAGAAAAAAAATAAACTTTCCTTTGAAAAGAATAACAATTAACAGGAAAACAATAGCATCTAGTCGAAGGTAGGTCAATTGATTTTATAACCGGAGAAAATGGTCAAATGCCCCCTCAACGTATATCCGGATTTCCAACTACACACTTAAACTTTACGGGAGTCCTATCACCCCCTGTACTATTTAAAACTGAAATAATTACCTCCCTGAATGCTTAGCTGGCATAGTGAGTGTATTTCACTCTGTTTGGGAGAGTGAGTATCAAAATCTATTATTAAAACTTTATTTTTAATATCTCTTTTCAATAAATATATGTATTTTTAATTATTTATTTTTCTTATTTGTTTTCTTTCTTCTCCATCTAAACAAATCTCTCAATCTTTCACCACCTCTAAGTCTTGCTGCCACCACCATCTTCACCGGATTCACTATTGTTGATTTCAAACAAATTTTCAAATTCATATAAATCTCTTGCAAAACCAATCAACCTAAATCAATTGAGATAAATTTACATATATTTATATCACCCCAAGATACTTTAGATCTGATTTTAGAAAAATCAATATGGGTTTACTTTAAATCCGATTGGACCAACCGAAAAAAAATATTTTTTTACTAATAGATCCTTTAATTATCAATATCAAATCTCAATCAATCAACTATATCTCAAATATTATCGCTATTAATCTTGTTAATCCATCAACTGTCGTAGAATCAGTCTCTTCCTCTTTGAAATTGTCATCACTATAGATGATGATGTGGAAGACATCGTAGGCTCCTCCTCTTCATCTTTCTTGAGAGGATTGCTTATCTTCGATGACCACCATTAATGACAATATTCCGTCATATTCGTCTTCTCTTCCCCCCTTCACTTTTTTTTAATTTGATTTTTAGGTTTCAAATGAGCAAAACCCGAATATCTCACCTTTCTTCCTTAAAGACCCAATTTCATGGACTTATGGTGTTCTAGTGATGGTGAAAATATTTTGGGTGTTTGAAGGGATGGGTAAGAATATCGAAGAAAAGGGTAAACAAATATAAAAATTGAAAAAATAATAATTTGATGACCTGTCAAACGCGTGAAACTCACATGCCACCATAGATCTGGTTATGGCTTTTTAATGGTATAATTATTTCATTTTTAAACAGTTCGGGGGGGGGGGGGGGGGGGGGAGAGGGAGGGTGATAGGACTCCCGTAAAGTTTAAGTGTGTAGTTGAAAATCCGGTTATACGTGAGGGGGCATTTGACCATTTTCTCTTTATAACCCTTTATAAATTTATCTTTAATTTTATTTTATTTTTTAATTCAAAATTTTTATTTTTCTTCATAAGGAATCGAAAAATAACAGTACTAAAGAGATATTTGTTAAGTCATTTTCTTCTCTTTAAAATTGTAAAAAATAAAAACAAAAACATAAAAATATGTTATTCTCTCAAATAAATTTTTGAGCAGAGACAAAAAAACACAAAGTCATTCTTTCTATTTGTTCTAATTTTGGTGGACAGAGTTACCTAGTATCCGTTGATAGTAGCAGGTAGCAAGTGGCAAGTATCCCATGAAATTAATCGAGGTGCGCTAAAACTTAACCCATACACCACGATCACATAAAAAA